TTGATTGGGAAAAAAGCACTTGGAGATGACTGTAAACATGCAGCTTCCTGGGCCCCACTTTTAGCATGTCTGGGTAGGACTTAGGGGTCATCACTTTTAATGAGTTCCTGGTGGCCAGCAGGCCTGTGTACCACACACCTGATATGCTGGGTAGAAAGCCTGGGGCTCTCAGTACTCTGTTCCTGTTGGCCACCCTCAACCACTTGCCCTGGCCAATTGCCTTATTGTCCTCCAGACATGGTGTATGCCCCTCCTACCTCCTCATGTTTGCCCTGATATACCACTTGCCTAGTATTGGCTCTGTGCTTGCTCAATTTTTCTACAATTGCCTGCTGTGGCCTAGGGAACATTTGAAAGTGCAAGAACTTGAAACATGCTCCACAGATGGCACAACAGAGTATCCAAGTCAAGGAGTCACAAAACTTGAGTTTGAAGAGTGGAACGGCACTGCCTGAGTCTCAGTTTTCTCATTAGTAGAAGGAGAGGTCACTACCCACCTGACTGGATTGAATGTGTTACTAAAATAGAAATGGGTTTATTATCATCAGCATTTTGGTTTTCTGCCTCAACCCAGCCATGCCTGGCCTGAGCACTCAGAGCTGTCTGTAGGCAGAGCTGGAACCCACGGCTCTGAACCACAGGCTTTGTAGCCTGTTACACTGCTGGGCCCTTGGGCAAACAGCTCCCTTAGAGAAGCCCTAGAGTTGTCAGAAAACTTAAAGGGGTGAGAAAGATGCTATGAGCCCCTGAGCTCCTCGGGGCAGCACTGCCCGCTCCATTTTCTCCTCTTGATCTTTGCTGTCAGGGAAGTCAGAAGCAGTAGTTGGGGAGGGTTGATGGGGTGGGCTGAGAGAGAATGCAGGAAGGAGCTGGCAGAAGAGACCATTCCTGTAGCCAATACCCCTGTGGGGTGACCTTGGCTGCTCCAGCTTGGAGACCCACCCGACCTGGGCCCAGGATGGCAGCAGCCCAGAATGGGGTGGGGAGCTGAGACATCCTAAGACTAGATGTTGCTGTAAACGGGGTCAAGCTGTCACCAAAGGCTGCTGCTGTGTCCTTGACATCCTATTTTTAAATATTACTTAGGCTCAAAAAAGAAATGGATGTTTTTCTAATCCAAATTAGTAACCAGAAAAAACCAAGGCTGGCCATGAGCTCATTGACACACACTCATGAGCAGGCAGGCTCTCTGAGTGGCTGAGAACCGTTTCCATCTTGTTAACAAACACATGTTGCAAGACAGGAAATTACCCTCCTCAGTGCCTGTTTTAGCTCTGTTTAATTGCTGTTTGATAATAAATTACAACAGAGTCCATTAATTAAGCTAACAATGTCCATGAAACATCAATTCCTTCTTTTGGGAGTTGCCTTATTATAGAGCCTTGATTCAGTCTCTGTTAACCCACAGCACTTTGTGAAGCAGTTTATAAAGATGCACAGATAGGTGGCTGGTGGGTACCAACTCCTAGTGCAGAGGGAGCTGGTTAGGAGGAAAGGAAGAAACTTTGATGAGCGAGGGTAGGGGCAGCTTGGTGGCTGGAGGGCGGTACCGAGAGTGCACTCTAATACTGAGCATGTGGTAGAATGAAAAAACAACATTGATTTACTTTCAAAAATTAGTCGATGGGCCCTGGCCAGATGGCTCAGTTGTTTGGAATGCCATACCATACACCAAAAGGTTGTGAGTTTGGTCCCCGGTCAAGGTGTGTATGGGAGGCAACCAATTGATGTTTCTTTCTTATATTGATATTTCTCTCTCTCCCTCCCTCTCTCTCTCTCTCTAAAATCAATAAATATATCCTTGGGTAAGGATTAAAAAAATCAGTTGACATGGCCAACTTGTAGGTATGCATCCTGGAACTGGAGGGAGCAATGAGCAGTCTAATCTGTCCTGCCATTCTGTAATCAGCTACATGGCAAGAGTATGCACTAGGGAAAGTTCTGCATGCAGGTAGAACAGGTGCAAGATAAACTCTGGTTATTTCCCAGTAAAGGCCTGGGTCCTGGGCTATGAATGCCACTAAGCTCCCAGCAGGAGAGAGTATGCTTGGAGCTGTGAGCAGTATAAGTGCATTAGAGGGTATTCTGAGTAGCCAGGGCAGAAAGGAAGAGCAGGAGACCTTGGAGGAGACAGCTACAGGGCACAGAAGACAGACACAGCCACCCCAATGCACTGGTCCTCATGTTTAGCCAAGAGCTTACCCAAGGCTTAGAAAACTTCCCCCTGAAATTCTCAAGCCTAGACCCACTTGAAGAAGCCCTCAGAGCTCTGGGAGACATTCACTTGACCATTCTTATTCCTTTTCTCATTCATAGGAGTTGGTTTTGCAGGCCAGTTTTTGATTATGCAAATATTGAAATGCAATAGTATCTATGTCATAGTTAACAAGTACTCAGTTCAAATGTCACCTATTTAGAACATTGGACAAAGAACCCTGGGAATTAAATGTTCTTCTAAAGCTATTCCTGGTGTGTTCCCAAATCATGGTCGTATACAGCAATGCGGCCCAGAAGGAGATATCCCCAAGTCTCAGTGTCCAGATTCCTGCTGCCTTCCTGGTGCAATACCACTGTGTCCCCATCTTGCCTGAAACAAACTGTGGTCCATTGTTGGCTTGTCATTTGGCCTATCCCAAGACGCAGCCTCTTTTTTTAAAAAAATATATTTTTTAAAGATTTTATTTATTTATTGTTTTAGAGAGGGAAGGGAGGGAGATAAAGAGAGAGAGAGAAACATCAATGTGTGGTTGGTGGGGGTCATGACCTGCAACCCAGGCATGTACCCTGACTGGGAATCGAACTTGCGACACTTTGGTTCACAGCCCACGATCAATCCACTGAGCTACGCCAGCCAGGCAGATGCAGCCTCTTAAAAGACTGTCTTGACCATTCCTTGCAGTCCACAGCTCCCCACCACACCCATTTCTCCTGTCACCAAGGCTTTCTGGGCATTTTATTCCTTAGTCCCCAGGAGGAGAAAACAGTATGTAGTCAGTAGGAGCCCAAAGCAAAGATGGCTCCACAGCATCCATATTCCCCAAACTCCTCTGGGGCTCTCTGTGCATGGTCTAAACATATCATTCCCCCAGGGGAACCCCTCAGTGGCTCTCCATTGCCCTCAGGGTCAAGTCCCAGTATCACTGGCATCATCTGGGAACTTGTCAGAAATACAAAATCTCAGGCCCTATCCCAACCTCCTAGTTCAGAAACTCTGGGGTGGGGCTCAGTAGTGGGTGCTTTCACAAGCCTTCCAGGTGATTCTGTTGCACACTGGAGTGTGGGCATGCATGCTGTGGAGCACACCTTATCAGGCCACTGCATATCTGCCTCTCCATCTTGCTTCTCTCTCAGCACTTCCTTCCCTTTTGCATTCTAAGCTCCTAACAAACAGGGCCACCTCTCTCTTCTGGCACCCAGCACCCCAAGCTAGCTCGTTCCTTCCACACTTACTATGCTGTAGGTTTCCTGCCTCTTTACTTGTCTTGGCCTCTCAAGTGTAAACTACTTGAGAGCAGGTGGTTTACACTTGAGAGCAGGGTGGATATCTCATCCACTGCCATGTACAACTGTGACGAGCATCTGCAGTAGGTGATCAAGATGTACTGCTGAGAAAATGAGTGAATGAATGAATGAAGACACTCACTGGATTCTTTAGTCCATACTGGCTTTGATGCTAATGCCCCATTTCCCAATGTGTAGGAGTTGGTCTTCCTGCTCATTCTCCTGCTCCCCATGGCAGTTTTAGTCAATTGTAAATGGTGGTGGGGCTCAGTAAATAATCTTAACTTAAATAGAATAGATTTGAATTTAAAATGCTTTGCTTGTGCTAGAGGGCCTGAGTTCTAGTCTGCTTTGTTAACAGGCACTTGCCCTTCCATGCTTCAGTTTCCTTATGCTGCCTGCTACCTCCCAGAGATTTGATCTGTCTGGCATTAGCTCTTCAAAGGACCCATCACCTTGAAGGGAGGCCAAGGTGGACTATGAGAACTACCTGTGGTGATAGTAGAAGGAATACAACTCTTCTCTTTCTAGGTACTGACTTAATAGGAAAGCAAAGTTCTATGAGCAGAGAAAACCTGTGAGCCTTTATGAATGCATACATGAATATGTGTATATGCATGTGAACTTGCACATGAACATGTGTGTTCATAGGACACGAGAGAGACACTGAGAACTTACAGAGTGTTTTGTCCAGTGTCTTCCTGTCACAGGAGAATCTGTGAGACTGGCTTTGCACCAAACGTCTGGTGCTCCTCTGGAATTGGATAATAAATGTTTTCCCAATTTGTAGCTTGCCTTTTATTACTGTTGATCGACATGAAAATGCTTTACATTTTCATAAATGTCAAGTGGAATGACATTTTTTGGATATGTTTATTCCCAATCTTAGAAAATTTCTGCTAAGCTCTGTATATGCACACACAGACACACGTTGGCTAGCACAAAGTTGTCAAAGAAATTCATTTACCAGGCTTTGTTTTCACTTTGTTCGCTGATCATTTTGTCCTTTTTGAACCATATGTTCTCCTGAGAGATCAGAGAACACATGTCCTTGGAAATGTACTACAAGCACCTTCCTCCTTCCCAGTTGGTGCCTGGCTTTTGTACCAGTGCTTACAGACCAGGCCATACTCACCTTTCAGGGTGATGGTGGCCTTTCAGGGTGAACATGTCAATCAGGTTTTTCATGAGGGAAGCTGCTCTTTCTTTGAAGTTGTAGCAGGTGTATTTGGTTATAATTACAACATATATACATGCCTATAATTAAATGACCCTCAAATTTATTTACATTTTCCTTTCAGTATGACACATGCCCAATGACCCTCTTAATGTCTGTGCTGATGTATCCACTTGTGAGCCTTTTTTCTGACTCACAGAGAAACAACCAGAAAGCCCCAACAGAATGGATAATAATTACCCAAGTACAGGACAAAAGAAGTTAGCAGAAGTCCTACAAACACCCTGAATTTACTCTTTGCCTGGTGAGAAATAGCTCCTACCTGGGGTCCCCAGCCATGGCATGGGTATAGTATTGCTGTGTGGTTCTCCAGCGGGCCCTGGTCCAAGCAGACATCTTTTGCTTTGTTGTTGCGAAGCTGCAGGAATAGGTAAAACATCACTCATGAGAACTCATCTGGTGGAGCTGCTGCTGCCCAACCACTGTTCCACCACATCTTGGTCCCAACCACTCAATGAGAAGGCCAAATGACACCCCACCTGAGGACCCAGGCCTGAGTCTGTGAGGTGATCCCTCTAGCAGAGTCCTTCAGTGGTTGCCGTGGGCACCACCGCTTGACCTATGACCCCCACCCATACAGCTCCCCTGTCTCCCGCAAAAGATGTCAGGAAGCTTTTGGATGTGGAAACACTGGTCAAAGTGGGCTTCAGCACCAACACTGGTTATAATAACCTTGGGAATCATAGGTCAGCTTCTCAGGTCATTACTAGGTTGGAGGTATGAAAAATAGTAATCAAAAGAGCAAACATAAGCCTTGCCATCATGCAAAGTGCTGACAATATTTATTTATATATTCAAGAAATACTTACTGAATGCCTACACTGTGCCAAGTCCATCCTAGGTGTTTGGTATGTACTTGCAAGGAACAGACAGAGGTCTCCAAGACAAAACTTATCTAATTCAGACCTCCAGGTACACTGTGTTCTACATGGCTGTGTGTCCCACCCACCATCCTGCAATCTCAACCAGTGGGAAAATGGCAATGCTGGTCTTCCCCACATACACACAGTCCTCCCCAGATTATACTCTCCATGGAAACCAAACTAGCCAGGGATAAATCAAGAAGAAGGGTTCAGAGACTACGGGGAGGTAGCTCCTGAGCCAAGTGGTGAGAAGGATACTGGAAATCATGCTGGTGGTGTTCCATTTTTCAGCCGAGCGGTGGTTACATGGAGTTTTGCTTTATATTGTTACGCTGCACATGTACTTTATGCACATCATATATGTGTTGTATTTCATATAAATAATGTTCAAAGGAAAAAAATCAGCAGGAGTGAATTAGGGGCCAGGGTAGTTCAGGCTGTAAGGGCAGTTCAGGCCGTAAGGGGTGTGTGGGCCCACCATTAAAATGTTGAGCAAAGGAGTTGGTGACCCAGTGGTCCTGTGCTCGCTGCGGTGCCCTTGCGTATGGAAGGCACTACCTCATACCTATAAGAGTCAGGATGTAAAGCACACACATACCTTTCTTTAAAAATTATCTTAAGACATTCCAGCTAATAGAGGTAAATAAAATTTTAAAAATCAACAAAGTAAATTATTTAGTATCTAGGTCAGCCTTGGCACTGACACTGGATGTCTCGTGAGGCAGAGACACCAGGGCTGACTCCTGCTCACAGGCATCTGTCTCCCCTTGTCACTGTGCTGGGGTCTGGTGTGGTGGCAAGAACTGGTAGGAGTGAGCATTAAAGTACAGTGTCCGAATGCTGATAAATGTTGTCACTAAACTGAATTTGACTTAAAAGTTATTCTTAAAGAAGGTATAAAATGCAAATAAAGTATAATAATGTTTGGGTCTATAATCCTAGATAACATTAACAAAGCCTGAAAAGTTGATGAAGAAGTCGGGAGAAAGTGTGTTAAGTTTCTGGTATTATATTACATACAATTTCACCTTTCATTTTGGAGGATCAGAGGTTTTGGTTTAGAGGTTATAATGTTATCAAGAGCAAGACATAAACAATTCAAATGACTGAAAAGATTTAAAAGACAAAAAACAAGCCAGGTTAAAAAAAAAAAAAAGAAATTAGGACAGAGAAAGGAGCATAAAACCCAGAAATGTTCATTGGCCTGGGGACAGCCTCTCCAACAGAACTACACGTGAAAAACGAAGGGCGTGACCTGCAGTACAGCATGGGGTTCCAGTTGCCCCCTCCTCTTCACTGCTCAGGGGTCTGCTGCGGTGAAGAGAACCAGCAGGAGCTCAGCGTTAAAAATAGAGTTGTCTAAATAATGGTGGATTTTGTTACAAACTGAATTTGATTAGTTTGATTTCTTGCATTTAATGCTATAGTCCATCTGAAATATATTTCAGTTTATGGTGAGCTCAGCAAATGGAGGAGTAATAGCAAATGCCTGAAATGTTAGTGCTGATCATGCTTGGGAATTGGGAATCGGAGTAAGTTCTGTTTTCATCTTTATATTTTCTACAGAAGGTATGCTTTGAATTTATTACTTGAAAGAGACAGAAAATTTTGACCCTGGCTGGTATGGCTCAGTGGATTGAGTGCTGAACTGAGAACCAAATGATCACCAGTTCAATTCCCAGGCAGGGTGCATGCCTGGGTTGTGGGCCAGGTCCCCAGCTCGGGGACATGGGAGAGGCAGCAGATCGAGAAAGAAAATTTTGCAAAAACAAGACTTCCCCCTTCAAAAATCAGCTTTGCGCTCTGTGTCCCCTCCAAGGCTCCCCACTGCTCAGCTCCAGACTCATCATTCGCACTGCGCTGCACGTGAGTGTCGGCCCAGGACGTGCAATGCGCAGCCTGCAGACTGCACCCTGGCCCTCTTCTAGCCTTTTCCCATCTTAATTCTTGCTTTGTGAATACCACTTTTTCTTCTAATTTTAGTATTATCACATAAACACTAGTGATTTATGTGATAATACTATAAACTGGGAAACATGACAAAGTACCCACACAAAAACTGCCTGTCCCACTACCCAGAGGTAATTGTTAAAACTACCATTTCCATTTCCCAATGCTATTCTCTCACTTGCTTCCCATCTAAAATAGTAGCTAATCCAATTTTATTATCCTGACTTTTTGCTTTTAAGAATGATATCAATATTTTTGTCTTGTTGTTAAAATTTTGGGCATAAATATTTCAAAAGGTTTGTACAAAATATTTAAACCATTAAGATAGTATACATATTAAACTAATTTTTAAGTTAGAGTCAGAATTTTTGATCCCCCAAAAAAGGCACTAAGAGAAACAACTCTTCTCCCAAATCTTTGTCCTCATTTCAGATTATTTGCTTAGAACAAGAATAGAATGACTATCATTAAGCCTTTTAACACATGCGGTTTAAATTGCTTTTTAAAAACCTTATTTAAGTTTGTGCTCTCACCAGAGGGTATGTGGTTTTTCATGCTGCCAAGGCCTTGCTGGCAAAGCACAAGCACATATTCTAAAAATGAATAGTTGTTCACTTGGTAGTAGGAAAAAAGCTATCGCAGTGCATTTTAAAATTGTTTATGTGTTTTTTAACTATTTGTATTTTCTTTTGGGATTTTTTATTTTCTTATTTAGATTATTTTTTATTTAAATCAATTTTTAGGGCTCATTATATATTAATGGTATTATGCATTCATCTACAATATTTATGTCATACATATTTCCAGTTTGGTATATTATTTCTCTATTTGGTTGACTTATAGATTACTTTAATATTTCCAAGCTCACATCCATTATCCTTTTCCTTTGCATTTCTTTCATGGCTTTGATTCTTAGAAAGCCCTTCTTCCTCTTTCAGAGGTCAGATTCATATCTATTTCTAAATAGTTCTATTATTATTTTTTTTCTTTCATTTAATGCTAGAGTTCATCTGAATTCACTTTGGGATCTGGTGAGCTGTAAGACTCTAAATTGTTTTTGTTAGTTTTTTCCCAAAGAGCTAAGCAATTTACCCAATTGTCTTGCAAATAATCCATCACTGCCCATCATCTTCCAATGTTTCCATTACATTTATCTTACTTCAATGACAAAAAACAAGCAAACCAAACAACCCAAACCATGCTTCTACTTTGAGGAAGAAAAGACAAGCAGCTTGGACCTGTGAATAGTTACTGCTGCCTGCCAGGTACCGCTGTAAGAAGTCCACACGTCGCCGTCCTTTCACCTTCCCAGCAACCCCATGCAGTAAGCATGTTCCTTCCCCCGTTTCACAGATGATGGAATGAAGCTGAGAGGGGCCACTCCGGGTGGTGGACTCATCCAGCAGGCTGACTCCAGGCTTCACGTGCTCCTAGCCAGGGCACAGACTGCCCCTGCAAGAAGCAAGCTGCCCATTCCAAACTCCTCAGGAGGGACACCTTGCCCAGACCCTGATGGTTTAATCTAGGGCTGATTTACAAAAAACACTGTTTGGAAGCAGCCCAAGAGTGGATAAAAAGCTGTGGTACATTTACACAATGAAATGCTAGTTGGCCAGAAAAAAGAAGGAAATCTTATCCTTTGTGACAGCATGGATGGATCTACGGAGTATTATGCTACGTGAGACAAGCCAGTCAGAGAAAGACAAGTACCATGTGATTTCACTAATGTGTAGAATCTTATGAACAAAATAAACTAACAAACTAGAGACAGATTCATAGATACAGAGAACAGAGTGACAGCTGTCAGAGGAAAGGGGAGTTGGGGAGCTGGGTGAAAAAGGTGAAGGGATTAAGCAAAAAACAAACAAACAAACAAAACAAACAAAACAAACTTCACAAACACAGGCAATAGTCTGGCGACTACCAGAGGGAAAGGGGGGTAGGGGAGGTAGAAGAGGATGAAGTGGGTTAAATAGTGACTGAAAGAAACTTGACTTGGGGTGATATATTATAGAATTATACACCTGAAACCTGTACAATTTTATTAACCAATGTCACTCCAAAAATTCAATAAAAAATAAAAAAATAAAGGGCATCAGGCATAACATAGGAAAACTCACAGTTGTAGAAAAAGTAAACACTTTAAGCCAAAGAGAGCTTTGCTAGCGTCAGCTTAGATCTATAGATATAGATATGTGTGTATAAAAAGCATATATGTGTATATATAAAAACAATTTTAGTAAAAACATATATTCACACATAGTAAAGAAGACCATACATCAAAATGTACACAGTATCTATGGAATCAGAATGCCTGTGTCCAATCTCTGCTTCACAACCAGTAGGCTCTGAAAACTTAGGCAATTTTTTAACTTCTCTAAGTCTTAGTTTCCTTATCAATAAAATGGAAATAATACTACTACCTCATAAGGTGACAATGAAAAGCACTTAGAAAGTGTGTGGTGTTTTGAAAGTGCTCAGTAAGTATTCATTGCTATTAACGTTATTTACAAATTTTTCTAGAATGCATATTTATGGTAATTTTAATATGAGAAAAGCCACGCTGTTTCACTGTGTAGAAAGGTCATATTATCTCATCACAGGGAGTTTGAGAAGAGCATCTTCACTCTTTCTGTGGTGACAAACAGCTTTGGCCCACAGCACTGAACAAGGGAGTGTTCCAGCCCCCTCCTCATTTTATACCTAACTTCCTACCTAATGTCCAATTCACAGGTCCCAGGGGACCTCAAAATCAAAATGTCTCAAAGAGAACTCATCCTCGACTCCACACCCCAGGCAGAAGGATGGCCCAGGACACATTGTATTGAATAGCATTGGATTTGTCCCTCTACCAGCTGGTGAGAGCCTTGCTGTCAGGCACTGCATCAAGAATCACTCACTGAATGAATGAATGAATGAATGAATGAATGAATAAACAAATGACTCTGGTCCTCATTTTCCCCCATCAAAGCAGTATACAGCCCATTATACAGCCATCCAAGCTGAGAACAAGCGTGGTCTTAATTACCTCCCCATAGGCAATGGTGTTATTATATCTTCTCATTTCTGGGTAAACGTGATCCAGGTACCACTGGAAATTCTTACACTTTAAACTTCTCCTTAAGGCTCTTCGTTCAGAGACATCACCTATGTCAATTCCTGGATTCTGAAAGTAGGGAGAAATGACGGGCATTAGTGACGGGGGAGCTCTGGCCGAGCAGCACAGGGGGCATCACCCTTGGAAAAACTACGGAAGAGAAATCTTAATCTCTCCGCATGCTCACTCAGAGGTCAGATGGAGGGCTCCTTTCTGATCCCCTAGCCCCAAGCAAGACACTGCCGCCCCTGAGCGCAGCACGCGGCTCTGATCATCGCTGTGTGTAAGGAACCCTGGACACACTGATGCGGCAACCTATGTTCCCAGCCCCGTCTCTCCCACATTTCCTGAGTGACTTTCCGAGCCAATTATTAGAGGAGTTATTTGATTAAGACAAGAAAATGGGTGCCTATAAACCACCTCCTGTCTTTCTTTTCTATCCCTGTGTAATTTCCCCTTTTGTTGGCTCTTTGTGAAGTTCATTTATGCAGAAGTGAAAATAATTTTCCATTGCAAAGCTTGTAATGATGTTCTAATGAATAATTCACTCTGCTTTTACAGAAATGAACCTGTAATGGGCGGCTGTGTGCTGACAAGGAGAAATAAAGTAGCTGAAATATGACTCCACAGACTCTGCCACAAGATGGCCGTGAACTGGAGGAGATGGGATGCTCTCTCCACAAAGGGGCGCAGCTGGGCAGCTCCTGGAGGCCCGGGGAAGAGTTCAAATTATTTCATTGAGATTTCTTCTTCAACAGCCAAACAATGATTTCAAAGGAACATCCCTTTAAATGTCAAACATTAAAATTCAAAGGCAAACCTGGGCGGCAATATTGAACTACTTGTTGTAATATACTCAGCATCGTTAATGAGAGCAGCCGTCTGTGGAAAGTGTGGGAGGGACACTGGCATTGGGACCAGGGGTGGTTTGTAATGAAGGAGGAAGCATCAGGATAGAGTTGGCAGCTCTGAGCTCTTAGAACTCTAAGTCACATCACTGTTCCAGGTCACAGCTCCTTGCTGCAAAACAGGAAAAATAACACCTATTCCACTGCCATCACAGAGCTGTGGGCAGAAGTGAAGGAAGACTCGACTCCATATCCCTGCCCTGCCATGTGCTATGCGCAGGACCTTGGTTAAACAAGTCACTTAACCTCCAGAGCTTTGGTTTACTCATCCGTAAAATGGACACCACACTAGGTTCCTATCAAGCTAGCATTTTTTGAGCACTTAATATTTGCTATGCTCTGTCTTAAGCCTCATTTCTAGCTTCATAGGAACCCTAGGAGATAAATGTTGACAATCTCTGCTGTGCAGATGAGCAAACTGAGGCAGATGATTCCTCAGTCATGAGGCTCTCATGAGTGCTAAATGAGAAAATGCAAATAAGGGACTTATCTAGTGTCTGGGACATGGGAAGGGTTCAACAAATGGTGCCCAGCTTTATATCATAACATGTAAAATCACTTGTACTGTAACAGCTCAAAAGTGTACATTGCCATGGGCATTTTCAATGCTTTAGAATCTTGTTTCTATAATTGTAACAGCAATGATAAAAAATTCTTCACTTTTGCCTTCTTTATCCATAGACCTTGCACATATTCACCTGCATTTCTGCTGTCCTAGGCTGCAGCCTCCTGAAACGCAGGGGCTGTATTTCCCAGTAGGACCAGTTCTAGGCAACTCTCTGAAGGCCGTGGCTCAGACACCTGGCTGAGCAGATAAACCCAATTGTGGCTGAGAGTTCAGGTCACCCTGCTGTGCTGTGGAGGACAGCAAACACTCACCAACACTCCCGTATCCCATGCCAGGCACTGGTCTAAGTATGTCACATGTACTTAGATTTAGTACTTTCGATTTAGTTCTCACAACTGCCCAAGGAAGGAGGACCTGCTAATACGCCCATTTTATAGCTGAGGAACCTACGGTACAAAGGCAATATGAATGAATTTATTCAAAATCTCGTAAGTACTAAGTGGCAGAGCTGGGATTCAAAGGGCTGCGGTAACACAGGAATTTTTATAGGTGACATTCTGGGTGGAATCTGGAGGAGAACTGAAGAACCATGGAAACAAGGGCTTCAGCACATGGTAGAAGTGTACATAATCCTGGAGGCAGCTGGAGTGCCAGAGCAGGGCACACAGAGCAGATGAAAGGGTCTGGTGCCAGAAACTGGGCAAGAATCTTCTGGACACGATGTATGTTCAGGAGCAGGGCATCCAGATTAATGTAATATGACTGTGACTAACACAATATGACCCTTCTAATCTTTGTAAATGGATTTTGAGACTTCTGCTGTCACCGTCCCCACCTGGAGATCTGTGGACTCCCTCAAAATGCATTCATAATTTTGCAAGTGTGAGCATATTTCTGGGGAGGAAGTATCATCTTATTAAAGGAAGTGACCTGTCAAACACAAGGATGACAGTTCTAAGGAGATGGGGAGGGCTGCTGGGCCCTACCTCCAGTGGCAGATTCCATGCTATGTACACATGAGACTTGTAATCGTCCATCCAGACCTCAGCCACCCGGAGAGCATTCCTCTTGGTGTAGAAGCCAATGTTGCTGTTGTAGGGCTTCTTCTTTCGCTCAATGTGGGCCACCCGTGAGCAAGGCAGGACCTCCATGCTGCCCCCGCAGAGCCATACCTGGAAGTACAAGGACATCATCAGCCTGACAAAGAAATTCTTAGAGGTCACTGCCCTTCCCCAAGGCTCGGAGGTAATGGCTCAGGAGACTTAGCATGAGTGAGAAATAACAGTTTAATACATAAAGCCACTGAGATTTCAGGACTGGTTTGTTACTGCAGCACTGCCTAACCTAACCTAACTAAAACAGGTAGAAAAGAAGATTTGGGGACTTTTTATAGATATAATAGTTTAGGATATTAAAATCCAGTTCTGGATAAGAGAGGCCCATATACCTAAAATGCTCCTGATGACATCTGGTTTTCTTAGTTCTCAGTAATACATTAGAATCCATGAAGATTTTCCCCCACCTGGTTGAAGCTGTGCCTTGCAGATATAGACTGGAAAATTCAAACTAAAAAAAGACTGTCTTTATTTAAGTCAGCACAAAGTACACAGTGGTCTAGTTCTGCATTGTTAATATGATCTATTTTAGAGTCCCAGCCTTCTGGAAGCATCCACCCAACATGATCATGTGCAGATGTCACTTGTTGCTGGGATATTCAGGTGGAAGGCTGAAATGGTAGTTGCCTTTGAGAGATACAAAAGCCCAAGGAAGCGACACTTGCCATCCTTTGCCTGAGCCTGGCAAGGATCCAGGCTCCCAGGTCCTGCTCCCCAGGGAGGCCTGTACCAGCCATCTACTCTCCATTCCAGGCAGGAAAAACAAATTATTTCTGATCATCCAGAAAGACTAATTTGAAAAAGTGAATGTCCTGACACTGGTAGGGAGAAGAGGAAGAAGTCACAGAGAAGTTTCGGGGACATGTGAGACTGTCCTGCTGTGAGGCTCCTGCACACTCTCTATGCATGACAGTGCGCTGATGAGCTGACTCGGGTCAGCACAACCCGTGCTCCTCCCAACTGGGTCACTTCCAGACTTTCTACCTCTAGTCTCCCAGAAACCCTCGCCTCGAGCATACTGGGGTGTTCTTAAGTATTTGTCCAACTTTCCTGGTTCTTTATCGATTAATTTTGGTGGCACAATTCATGCGTATGTGTGATCTTCTGTTTCTATTTCCCAACTCTGTTTATGGTGCAGGGAATCAGACAGCTGGAAAATCCTCCCATCACCAAGAATCCTTTCCCACTTTTCTTGTTTCTTCAATGAGGAGACTGTGAGCTCAGAGACTGGCAGACAGTGGGTGGTTCACACTAGTGTAATTTGGGACCTGAAAATTAGCTGCACCCATGGGCTGGGGCAGACCCACTAGAAGGAAGCCAAGTCATGGAGGCAAAATATTGCAAGAGGCCTATAGGGTAAAATGAGGTGGCTGAATTTTCCGGGGTGGGTAAAGACACAGAGTTCCACAGTTATGTGGCATTTGATAGTTTCAAGATTCATGGAATGAATGGAAACACACTCTATGTTCACCAATTAAAAAAGTTAACATTGTTAAGTCGGGTATTGTCATCTTCACAAAGATTGGCAAAGGCCTTTAACAAAGGCCCAAACTAATGCAAAGATTTAGCTCTCAGCAAGGGTGCCAAGACAATTCAGTGGGGAAAAGAATAGTCTTTTCAACAAGTTGTGCTGCAACAACATGCAAAAGAATGCATTTGGACCACAACCTCACAACATATACAAAAATTAACTGGAAGTGGATCAAAGACCTAAATGTAAGAGCTTAAACTATAGGACTCTTAGAAGAAAACACAAGAGCAAATTTTCATGAACAAAGTAACAATGAAGGAATGAAGAAAAAAATGGAGGGAGAGAGGAAAGAAGGGAGGGAGAGAAAGACAAGAAAAACACAAGCACTCAAATGAGTGTGGGAGGCAAACTGAGCTCAGTCCCTTGGGCCCTGAGTGGAGCCCCAGAGCTAGGTCAGGTCCAGGGAGCTCCTCTCTGCTTTATTCTTCTCCATCCTCCTCTTCTTCAGTCAACTCTCTTCAGAGAGGTAAGTGACCCCATTCTGCTTCCTCCAGACCAAACACCAACTGATTCACAAAATCTTCACAGATAAGGAGGCTGAGGATCTTAGAAGTTGAGTAAATTGTCAATAATCCCCAATCAGTAAGTGGGGGAGCCAAAACCCACAACTTTAGCCACATGCCATATAAGAGGCCAGCCCTTATGTGGTGGGCACTGCAACTCTGGTCCCCGACTGCCCTGGTCCTCAAGCTTTTCTTCCTCAGCCACAGATTGCACCTCACTCAGGGTGCCTGGCCAGCACCTCTAACCTGCGTTGTAGCCAGGGTGAGTAAGGGGAACAGGTGTGTGTGCACATGGCCTGAGAAGGCTCAGTGGATGTGAGTTGACACCAACAACACCCTCAAGATGATGGGTGTCATTGTCAGGGGGGTCAAGGTTAGCCTCCTGCTGCACAAAATGACCTGGTAGGGTGGCACTGTGAAGGCAACTGGAAGGATCCAGGGAGTCAGCAAGTCTCAAGTCCCAGCAGGCTGTGCTTCTAGTTGGTCAGAGCTCATGGGCTGGCCACACGTAGTGATGAGTTGGCGTGAAGTCTGTCCATGGTCAAGTGACCAAGACTGGACAGTAGATGTGAAGTAATTCCAGAAAGCAGACTGACTACTTGAGAAAAAAAGCAACAGGGTAGCTAAGGTAGCAGCCAAGGGTATTCCAGAAGGAACAGTGTTCACCTCACGCCTGCCTCTACCTGAGAGGTGTGAAAGCCAAAGAGGAGTTTCCTAAACAGAATGTAGTCCAAGTTATCTTTCTGTGCATCATGACAACTAGGTTCATATGTCTCAAGTACAGATGATCCCAAGCAAGGCTCCCAAGGATCTGTTCTCCATATCACTGTTTTTCAGCCAAAATGGCAAGGTCCTATAGAGCCTAGAAGAAATGACACCAAAGAGAAACCAATAGAAAGTTTGGGGTGAAAGAGTGATTGGCATATCTTTGATGCCAAGGAGAAAAAAGAAGGGAACTAAACCCCTGGAAAAGCACACCAGGCCCAGGGCTCCTCCATAGAGCAGGGAGTAGACCCTTCAGATGGGCCAAAATAGGCCATGAAAATGTGTATTCTAAGCTCTGGGACCAGTTCTGGAGGCAGAGAATCAATGGTACTACTCTTGGTGACCCTCTGCTAGGGAAGTGGGAAGGGACCATGCATAAATATCAATGGGCCACCAGGTGTAATGATTCCAGGAACAGGTATTAATTTATTCACCCAGAAAAATCCATTCAGAGCCTACTTGCTAGCATGGGAATAAAGTGGGGAACAACAAGACAGATCCTTGCTTTCATGACATCGATGATCTTGCAAGGGAAACATATTGATTAAATTAAATTAAATTAAATTAAATTAAATCAATGCACTAATATTAATGATCTTTATTAATTAAATCATCACAGAGTATCAGAAATGAAGCTAACTTCTATGAAAGAAAGCAAAACACTGCTAGAAAAACTAGCATTTGATGAAGGGATGTAGCCAACAGGCTCAGAGAAAGCATCTGTAAAATGAGACACTCAAGGGGAAATCTGAAGGGGTAGATTAAGCTAACTCAGTTAAAGAAATAGAGAAAGTGGATAGGAGCCCCATGCACAGAGGCAGCCAGCACACCCGCAATGACCTTGTATAGGAAAACGTATGGTGCTGTGATCTCATTCAGACAGTAGCAACAATTCCTCCCATGCTTCTTTGTAATGTGAATTTTTTGCTCCTCCTATCAAAAGGTTGTATCTATTTTCCTTCCTCTTGGATCTGAGCTGGACTTATGACTTGTACTGATCAACAGAATGCAGTAAAAGTGATGTTTTGCACTGTCCAAAACCAGGCCTTAGGAGGCTTTGAAGCTTCCAGTTTCTCCCACTTGTAACCCTGAGTCCCCCATGCTGTGAAGGAGCTGGGAATGAAAGATGGTGGGACCAGGGAGGTCCAAACCTTGCAGTCATCCTGGCTGAGAATCCAAGCATGTGAGTCAGGCCAGAAGGGACCAGACACCCCCAGCCAATGCCACCGAGAGAGAAGAACCCCCAGCCAATGCTACTGAGAGAGACGACCTCAGCCTAAACTGCCAAACTCCAGAACCGTGAGCAAATCGTTATTTTAAGCTGCTAAATTTGGGTTTATACAAACTTAACTGATACACACAGGATATTCAAAGAACTAAAAGAACAGCCATGTGGCTGGAACCCAGGGGTAGAAGAGAGGAGAGTAGTGTGAAAGGAAGGTGGGGGGGAGGTGGGGTTTGCACCAGCAGGGCCTGTAGGCCACAGTAAAAAAATTGGTCTTTGTTCTCAATGAGAAGCTGCTGAAGGATATGGATTCAAAGAGATCAAGTGTGGGGAGCAATGTTAGCAGCAAGAGAGACATATGAGGAAATGGGGACAGAGAAAAGAGGAGGGGCTTGCTGTTATCCAGGGGTGAAAGGTTAGTAGCTGTGGCTAGGACACCAAGACACAGAGATACAGAAAGACTGGTGGGTTAAAAGGCAAAATCACCAGGAACTGATTGTATGTGGCAGAGAGGGAGAAAAAGGGTCAAGAATGACTCCCAGGTTTCTTGCTTGTGCAGCTTAATATCCAGCGGTAGTATTATTCACTGGGCCAAAAAGCCTGCCCAAACCTACCCAGGCCTCTGGAACCAGAAGATGTTAAGGTGAGTAGAAAGCAAGATTGCTGCCTTGGGCTGACATGCTGGTCTTTCTCACTCACCGTGGGACACCCAGCTCCACCAGTCTTTTCTGCTGAGGTACATGCAGGCCAAGATGACCCATGATGGCATGTGTCAGTGTTCAGTGTCACTCACTAGAAAAGAAGTGGACATTTGCCTGTTCAACTGTCAAATGTGGGTTTCTTTGGTTTGGGGAATGTGGACTTTTCTTGATCTATGAAAGTTAGTTAATTAAGAAAGAATTAATGTAATAAAATTAATTTTGTTTTGAACTCTCATCTAGCCTAGACCAAGGTCAATGTCATGTCCAGGCCCTGCCCAGGATACCATGTCAGCCAGTGGGCCTGCTTACTGCCCTTGAGGAGGAGTGTTGGA